TGTGTGTGTGTGTGTGTGTGTGTGTGTGTGTGTGTGTGTGTGTGTGTTTGAGCACTTCCCTACTTTCTGGCCCTTTAATATACTCTAAGCTCATCTTGTATATTTCCTGCCCAGTCCCTAAATTAAATATATTTTTTCAAAGAGCCCATGTTCCTTTTATTGGAGAAATTATAGCAGAAACAAATACCTTCATGTTGAGAGTACTCATTGCTACTGGGATATAGTTGTTTTGAAGCCCTTCTAATCGGCAGCAAAGGAAAAATGTATATAGTAACACATACACATATACACATATCTATAGATATTTATATGTGCAACCACCTGTATTTATATATATTAAGTTAAACATGAGTTCTTACTGATGTTTCCAACTCTAATTTATTACCATATGGATCATTTTAGCCTCTTCCCCTACCTTATGTGTAACCTCCCAATGCAGTAGTTAGAAAACTGGTTCTCCCCACCTGCCATTCTTTTCCTTAATTGTTCACTTCCAATATAAATGTATAGTGAGATCAGAGTTTGCTAACCTGGGTCCATGTCGGAAACAACTTTATCAATTAGAATATGGTGTTTATATACAATTGTTTTCGCATTTAGCCTTACAGACTTCACTCATTTCCAAAGTTGCTAAGGTCAGCACATTTCCTCTCACCTGCTTCAGTGAAGTTATCTTACATTTTTGTAATATAGTTAGATTGCTTTGTCACATTCTGTATTTCCCAAGATCCTCTGACCTCCTGAATTATTTTTAAAATTTGCATACATTAAGGTTCTCTCTTTGTGCTGTGAAGTTCTATGAGTTTAAACAAATGCATAGTGTCATGTATTCACAATTAAAAAGTAGCAGACTATGCAGTCATAAAAAAGCATGAGTTCATGTCCTTTGCAGGGACATGGATGAAGCTGTAACCCATCATTCTCAGCAAGCTGACAGAAGAACATAAAACCAAATACCGCATGTTCCCACTCATAGGTGGGAGTTGAACAATGAGAACACATGGACACAGGGAGGGGAACATCACACACTGGGGCCTGTCGGGTTGGAGGGCTAAGGGAAGGATAGCAAGGGGGCGGGGGGCTTGGGGAGGGATAGCATTAGGAGAAATACCTAATGTAGATGACAGAGTGATGGATACAGCAAACCACCATGGCACGTGAATACCTATGTAACAAACCTGCACATTCTGCACATGTACCCCAGAACTTAAAGTATAATAATAA